TGAGTGATTAGTACTTAAAAGTGTACTTTTATCAAGGTTTTATATCATCATTTTGCACTTGAAATATCAATAACTCCTTGCCTAAACCATGTTTTATAATAACATATCTAATAATATAAGATACCTTTAATTTGTGGTAAATATTCATTTTAAATACAGGTCTATCATATAAATAAAAGAATTGATTGATGAGTTTAAGAACTGAAATCGAAAGGACAAAGAGATGACCAAACTTAGAAAAACGATGCCGGTACAATCCAAACCTGTGTTTGGTAATTGGGTCATATCTGGAGCTGTAGATCTTGGATTTATGTCTACTTTATATGGATGGAAAGGTAAGACATAGGCCTATAATTTTTATGTGGAGGTCTGGTTTTAAAAAGACCATTTTCAAGTTTCAATTGTAGCAATAACAAAGAAATCTGAATATGTCCTGCAGCCTGAACACTATTCAATGTTTGGCCCATATCTAGAGTTTTAGGAGTCTAAATGACCTCTATTTAAAAAAAAATGAGACAATTTTATGCAACTTTTATGTTTTCAAGTAGTTTCAATTTTGACGTTATTCATGACGTTTTGGGTAAACAAGAGAAGATAAAGATTGTCACTAAGTCAAGAGTTGACCAACCACTCATCAATTAGTTATCAAATCAATAGTTCTTAATTTTGGCCTATAAAAGGAGGCATTTGCCATGCATTTAGGCATCTTGGTTTTCAGATCAAGATCATGCTCTTGCTTTCTCTTTTTGTATTTTCATGATGCTTAAGTTTTCCTTTCATTATTATTAAGTTTATGTCTTTTATTTCTTTGTCTTTACTTAGTTAACTTTTATCTTATTTATGTTTTTATTTCATTTATTTATGTTTCTCTTCTTCATTATGTTTAGTTAAAGTTATTTTGTCAAAGTAAAAAGGTTACACTAATGGTGTAAGAATAAATATGGTGTAAACTCAACATGGACCTTAATGTTTGATACTAACATATTTTGTATTTGTAATCTTGTTCTCTTTTAATACTTTAAATGGTTAATCTAGATTTATGTTATACAATACTTGATATAACAAATACATGACACTCTCATAGCCTATACTGTATAGTATAACTAACACTTGAGCTATGAAAGGAACTTGATTTGTTGTTAATATAAGTTATAATCATGAATGTCTCGCTACATTTACAAGTATTAGCATTAATATATTAAATCATGACTTTTTATTCACCATAATACAGTGTTATTATAGAACACAAGAACCTAACATTGAAAGAAATGATGAATGCTATATTGATAAATTCAAATTACCTCAAAACTTAAGGGAGAAAGCTATTTTATCAGTTAATTATATTATGAATAAAATACCTCAAAAGAAATTGGACAACATATCATATGAGTTATGGAAGGGTCAAGTGACATCCTATAAATACATAAAAATATGGGGTGTTTAGCCAAAGTTATGGTTCCTAAAAAAATATAGACTTTATTAAATGAGATATCTCATTTAATTTGGAGGGTATGACGATGTTAATTGAATATCCAATACTAAAAATTCAAATTCTTTAAGTGGGTTTAACTTGCATAACTAGATCCACTATGAAGTTTGAGTTTATAACTTTAGACAAAATTAGAGAAGAAACAAAGTGGCTTTATAACTTTTATAGAGGATATTTAAAGTTGGTCAAAATATGCACTGACAATTTATATAAATTATGATAGCTAATATTTATTTGGTAAGGCATAAAATAGTATATATAACAATAAATCTTGACATATTTATCGAAGACACAATATTATAATATAGTTGCTCTTAGATGAGATTATCTTTGTTGACTATATAATGTTAAAGGATAATATCGTAAATCTGCTTATAAAATACTTAAAAAAGTGCAAGTCAATAAATCATCGAGGAGGATAGGATTAAAGCCTATATTCAAAGAATTAAGATCGAGGTTCAAAGGGATAACTGAATCATGTGTTAATTCAATATGAACATTCTTATGATAAAAAAAGTTACATGCAAATAAAACAAGATAAGCTAAGATTTTAATGATTATATCAAGTGAGGTATTGCAAGATATTCTTTATAAGAATCATCTATCTGATTATGAAATGATACCACTTCTATAAGAATTGAAAAGAATATATTCACTAGAGCACTCTTTGAAACCAGGATGTGCAAGGCCAAAATGAACATAGTTGTGAGAATTAAAATTGAAATAAGTTGAGTTGTGTGATCTTTATTGTCTAGGTTCACACAAAAAACTGAATAGTTCAAGGCATTATATTATCTAATCACCTAAGTGAATCTAATAGTTTTTCAATGGGAAAGGTTCAAGACCAAAAGTATCTCTTTCGATGTAGAGACTTTTCATTTTTATTTTTTATTTATGTGTTTACATTGTATTTTATTTTGATTAGATAATTCCTATTCATGTGAGGGATTATCATAAGGAATGGAAAATTGGATCTTTTACTGCAAAGTTGTGTATGTTTAAAAGTCTATTTAAAATATTGTTATTTCCTTTTAAATATAGTTGTGTATTAGTTTTATTTCGACTTTCTATATATATAAAAAATGATCCATCATAAAAATAATCCATGGAACTTATGTCTTTATAAAAATAATCCATGGAACTCATGCACCTTTTCTTTTCTTTTTTGTTCATAGGCAATGGAAATGAAACCTTTGGTGTCATGTAAACAACATATCTTTAGTTATCTCTAAGAATGCATGTGAAGGATGTTTCTTATTATATCCTTTTTCTGGCACTAATAGATTTATGTTAACATGGATTTCCAATAGGATATTTTAAGGCATATCTAGATAAAGATTATATTAGTTCTAATTGTATTTGAGCGTTATTATTTGATGATATAATCTAATTAGAACATTTTTTTCCCATATACAAATTCTTACTTAATTAGAGTGGTAGATATAGAGGGAAAAAAAAGAATGAGAGAAATTTCAATTGATGATTGAAACTAAATATTGATGATTGAAACTATAAAAGAAACTTCAATTAAAAAAGACAAAAAAAAAAAATTCAAGTCAACCTGGGTTAACATACCTAATTGATAACCTAGATTATATGACTAAGATAAACATATGGAAAGCAAGTTAAAACAAATTATGGAGTTCAAATTTCAATTAACTCAATGTTAAAGAATAAAATTTAAAAAAATTAATTAAAAAACCCGAGTCAACTCGCTAAGCCTATATCCTAAGTAATGAGATTAAGATAACCCTATGAAAAGAAAGAATACAAATAAAATATGAAGGCTAACTCTAAATCAATCGAGTGTTGAATGATGAAATTAGAAAAAGAAAAAATATAACTCAAAAAAGGCAAAAAATCTTGAGTTAACCTATCAAACTCATGTCGCAAGTCATGAGACCCAGATAAGCAAACCCCATGTTGACTAATAAAATTAAAAAAAAAATACTAAACCTTAAAAAAAACAAAAAAAAACATTGTTCAAGTGAATAGTATTTTGTAAAAAAGGGAACAATGAATTCTCCTTCTTAATTTGTTTTTGTTAACTATGGGCTGAATATTTTTCCAATAAAAAAATATTGAATATATAGGCTTTTTCAATATTTGTCTTACATAAAAAATATTAAATGTAAATTGAAAAGCTCATGCAAAAATCTAGTTAAATAAATCAATAACCATACATGTCAATAAATAAAAAAAATCATTAGTGATAACTAAATATATATCTAAAAAGGTTGATAGGTGGATATAGATCAATATATTTGTTTTTGCAACATATACTATGTATATAATATTGATTGAATAAAATTAAAAGAGAAAAATATTTAATGAGATTGAATTTATTAGAAATACTGTTAAAAAATAAATATTTTTTATTTTTAAAAATAAATTTTAATTGCATAAAATATAAAAATTTATAGATGAATTATAATAATCTTTTCAAAAATTAAATACATATAAAATAATTAAAAAACAATCACTATTTGAAAAAAAAAACAATTAGAGAAAATAGTTATTAATTTAAATATAAATAAATTTTTTTAAAAGCATGAATTTTTAGAAAGGCAAAATAACAAAAAAGAAAAGAAAAGAAAAGAAAAAAGATGGCCTAGCAAGTCTAGCTACTCTTTGGTCCATTTAGAAAGGGCTCACTCACACCCATGTTTTTTTTTTTAAAAAAAAAATTTACAATTGAGGTGGATTATATGTCACTTGCCCTGATATGTTTTGAGAAAAAAAATATAAATGATGTGATATTTTTTTTTATATTTTAATTATGATGATAATTAAAAAATTATAATTTATTTTTTTTTAATTTAAAAATATATTTTTCAACTCATTTTAATCCAAAATATATAGAAAATATTCTTAACATTTTGATAAACCAATAAATGGCCTTAAACAATCTAAAAAATCACCTAGAAAGCTAAAAATCAACTTAAAATAATTTTTTTTTCAATTTTAGATTTGATTTTTAAATTAAAAAAATAACTAAGTAGAACTCACTTAATTAAACTGAATATATTGATACTATCATTTATTATTCAAGTTACTATAATTAGTGTTAATTTTTATTTTTTTTATTTATTACTAAAATCAAATGATTTCTTTTTTTTTTTGCAGTTCTAATAGTACTTGAAAAATAATAAAATAATTTTTTTTTAAAATAGAATTACAAAAAGTTTTAGAGACCAAATAAATATGATTTTAAAAGTTAAAGAGCTAAATTAAAATTTATAACTTTACATAAAAAATTATAAATTTAAATAATTTTTTCATAATTATTGTTATTCTTTTAATTTTTTTATTGATCAAAAAATTTAAATAATTATTCTTTAATTTAACCCTACAAAAATATAATTATAGTATAAAATTTGAGAATTAAAATAAAAAATAATTTAATGAGTACAATAAAATATGAAAATTTGAACAATGTTTATGCACGCTCAAATCCCTACGCGCATGTTAACTACCCACCTGACATCTGTCTTTCAAAACCCAACAAATTTAACAAATAGTAATAGGATAAATAAAAAAATAAAAAAATAAGAAATTCTCTGAATATCAAATCATACGATCATCTCCTAGGGCCTAGGGCTTCTTCTCTGCACAACTGTACACACTCTCCCTCCCTTTAAATACGGTCCGGTTCCTCCCGAAGGCCGGATCTCCTCCCTCACTCTCTCTCTCTCTCTCTCTTCAAAACTGAAATTCTCCTGGTTTAACGGAAGAACTTCTTCTTTACTAAGGAAAAAATAAAAAATTGTCGAGTCGAGAGATAGTAGTAACTATGGTGAAATCAGCGAAGTCTCAGCTCGACGAAGAAGATGAACCTGAAGATTACGACTCGTCGTCCTACAAAGGTAACGTCAACGCACGCAATTCTTTTTGTTTTTAAAATGATTTTGTTGACTAATGTCATAAATATATATATGTAGGGGAAGTAGTGAAACCAGAGAGTAAAAGCAGCGAGCCGAAGGCGAATGCGAACCGGTCCAAGCATTCTGAGACAGAGCAGCGTAGAAGGAGCAAGATTAACGAAAGGCAATTTTTTCTTAATTACATGAAATTTTATAAAAATGATGACGATTGTGCTATTTCTATTATCAATTGAGGAATGTGCGTTGTTTTAGGCTTAATTGGCGAAGGAATGATTTAAGAAATTTCATAATTTGATGATATTTTTGTTTCAATTTGTTAAAAGTTAGTGACTAGACACTAGAGATTTTTTTCTTAAAGCTTTCGCAGTATGAGTATTTTGCATTTGATTACTAATGCATCACACTTTGATTTTATATATATATATAACTTGACATAAATACTTTAAAATAGGAGTTGTTTTTGGCTCATTGATGACATGTTTTGTCAAGCAGGTTTCAGGCTTTGAGAGATCTTATTCCTCAAAATGATCAGAAAAGAGATAAGGCTTCGTTCTTGTTAGAGGTGAACCGATCAAATATGTGTCATTTTTTTTCTTTGATTTTGGTTTTGATTTTCTGCTTCGATTGAAGGTTTTTGTATTTTTATGCAGGTTATAGAGTACATTCAGTTTTTACAAGAAAAATTACAAATGTATGAGGGATCATATGAAGGTTGGAGTCAGGAGCCAGCTAAATTATTGCCATGGGTAAACTTTCAATTCTGAACATGCTCTTGTCCGTGTGGGTGTTATTGCTTTTGATTAACATTAGTTTGCTTGGTGCTATTTACCATCACTTATAATATACTTACCTCTGTTTAAAACCTCATGAAACGAGAAAGGATGCTTATGTTAGTTTTCGAGTTGGGAACAACTCTTGTTGGATTGTCCAAAAGAAATAGTAGCTGAGTCCTTTTTGGCTTGAATTTCCTATTATACGATCTTCTAACTTGAATATTTTCTTAAAAAATGACCATACCCTACCACTTCAATAACAAACTAGGGCATGGAATGAAACAACTTCAACGATAGATGAACTTCATTTGTGCCTCTTTGTCTGTGCATTTGAAGGATAGATGAATTATGCTTCTAATTCTTGCGCCTAGCATGCATAGCAGGCCGCCATGCAAGGTGGGTTTATTGGTCATGACCAGGAGAGGGATTATTGCTTGGGTATGATGGATGTGCTCACAATTTACGATTTGAGAACGTTTAAAACACATCCATCGAAGTTCACTGATTTTGATTAAGATATGACATTTTAATGGGTTCCTGTGTGCTTTTTACATACAGCATAATAGCCAAAATGGGATAGTGATGACTTCCTTGGTACGTTTATTTTTTCTAACTTTTATATTATAAAGTATATTTAAAATGTGGAACAACTTTCATAATTTGTAAAGAAGCCAATAAATGTTTTCTTGTTTTCATTACTAGTCCAATTCTGATTTCCTAAAAGTTAGGGTTTCTTATAAACGACTTAGTCATGATATAATGAGGTTTTGCTGCATGTACTTCGCCTGTTCATTTTGGAATGTTGAAGATGTGACCCAGGCTTAAAGTGCAGGACTGAGAGTTTCAGGGCCTTTGATAATTTGGGGTTTGGTACATTGCATAACTTGCATACTGGCATTTGAATGCATGGATTTGTAGGCTAAAAAATACATTCTCAGTGGATCTAGTGGCCTAGGTTCCAAAGGTGTTCTCATCAACTTTTTAATCTGGACCATATGATGGGCAAATTACACATCAAATGTTAGTGAATTTTAGTGAACAGAGGGAGGGCTATTCATCTTATGCTCACTGATCACAGTAAGAACAGAAAATGCATGTGTTGTTCTCTTTGTTGAATATTTTATAGACATGAATTGTAATCATGACTGCTTTATATTTGATTGTGGGGCATATTGTTCCCTATATTCTCCCTTCCAAAAGGTTTTTTTTTTCCTTTGAAACAGAAGATTGATCGTGCTTCTGCTGAAAGCCTACTCGATCATACACAAGTTATGAAAAACGGTTCTGCTCATGAGAATAGTGTCATGCTTGCAAATGTACATAACTCAATAGAATCTGACATGGGCACTGCTGCAATGTACAAAACATTGGATCATTCCCATGGGCCCACCAACCCAGCAATTCCATTTGATGTGCAGACACCATCGAATGTATTTGCTGCTGTTGGGAGGGGTGGTTTGCCTACACAGTCTTTGCAGGAATCTGTTTCTGATGTTGAGAACATGGCTTACCAGCTTCAATCCCAGCTGTTGCATGGTAGACCATGCGCTACTGAGTGTTCTACTCCAAACAATACACTGAATGGACAGGAGGACTTGGCAAGTGACAGTCTATCAGTTAATATCTCGAATGCCTATTCTCAACAGTGAGCATCTGCCCATCTCTTAATAATTCTGTTGCATTAGTAATTGTGAAACGAGCCATTAACCATGTTCTTGGAATAAATTCACTTCATGGTCATGCTTATTATGGAACTAGCATGTTTGGTCATGTATTCTTTGCATTGACCTTACCCGTGGGAGATCAGGAAAGAAAATTCATGGTTGTCTCACACCATCTCAAAAAACTTAGAAGAGTTTGATGCAAGTATCTATGTAAGAATCGTCTAGGCTAGTAACTTGGCCTATAAAGTTTTTACCTTGATGTTGTCTGCAAGTTTATGTTTTCAAATTTCTTGCACTGCTTATCTGGGGTAAGGTTTTTGTGCAAGGTAAATTGGTGGGTCATCACGAGGGTTGCTTGGACTTGTATGATATGAGGTGTAATATGTGCCACTGATTATTCCCTTCTTTATGGTTTGATTTGTTTTAGGGATGTCTATTTTACTGGAACAAATTGATTTTTGAACTTCAGAATTCATAAAAGTTAATGTGGTATTAACAGTAGTCTTAGCAATCATACCTGCCATCAGTTCATTTTGCTGTTAAGTAGTACTGTAAAGAGATCTTGTATATGTTGTTATAGAATGGGTTTTTGGTGTTCAACAGGATACTGAATACTCTGACCCAGGCACTACAATCTTCGGGTGTGGATCTAGCACAGACAAGCATTGGAGTGCAAATTGATGTGGGCAAACGAGAAAATAGTACAACTGCTGTGGCACCCAGTTCAAAGGTTTATTTCTATGATCCTAAACTAATTATTGGAAGCCCTATATGATTCCATGATTTTCGAACAAGGGTAGCATATTTGCTTTGCGATCTCTCTCTCTCGAAAAAAAAGAGAAAGAAAAGAAAAGGAATTGGCTATTTTATCATCCTAGACTAGAGTTTTGGAAGCCCTCTGATGCCATGATTTTTTAACAGAAACCCTTTATGATGTGGTGATATATATATATTTTTTTTCCCCGAGGATCAGGTAAACCAGTATCTAAGCAATCAACTAATCGTACAAGATGGAGCTGGGAGCAGTGCAGAAAACTCAGAACAAGCTCATAAGAGGCCAAGAAGAGAAAAATGCTAGTGTATCCTTCCGCTCACAGTGTATCTACCAGCTTGATTACTTCATTTGGTCCTACAGAAAATTCGGTGTTCGTTTCTGTTTGTCCATCATCCACAGCCAGGTTCGGATCAGTTGTACATGCATGTATTATATATGCTCTTTGGCTTGTTTCCCAGTGGCTTGGAGTATCCTGGAAGAAAGTAAGAATGAGAACTTATCTTCCCCGTTGGTTTTCTCATTTCAGATAAGAGGCTTTTCCATACGTCTAATAAGAAAGCTGCTTTCTAACCTTTCAGTGGTTTTACCAAGCTATTTGTTTTTGCGTTTCATAAAAGGTTTTGAAAAAAAATGAAATTTTTTTATTTTTTTCTTTGGATTCAAATTAATATTTTCTTTTTAGTGTTTTTAGATTATTTTAATACATTGATATTAAAATAATTTTTTAAAAATAAAAAAATATTATTTTGATATATTTTAAATGAAAAATATTTTAAAAAATAATTGTAATTATACTTTCAATTTGATTTGATGCATGGTGTACTGCACCGCATTGCTACAGATTATGCGAGTTCTTTTCATTCCTCAGACCAAGATTCGATTCCCCGAGTGCCACTGAGCTATAAGCTGATCATGGCCATCTAATATAAAAATATTTCAACCGAAATTAGAAAGCAAAGTGGAAGAATGAATTTGTGATGTGATGTGATGTGCGCAAATGGTCAGATCAATTTCTTCATATTATGAGGTCTTGAAGAGGCCAGACATTTGTTTTGAAACAGGTAGGCTTCCATAACAACGAGAGCTCCGAATTGGATGACGCAAAATGGGTTGATTTCAGGATTGGCTTTGTGGTTCCGTCCTTCACAACTGCGGATTGATCTCGAGGAACACACACGTTCACCAACATGAATATTTAGCGATACAAGTAACTCTAACATCATAAGCTCTTGTGTTCTCAAACAATAGTCGAGTTTTTCACTGCCCATAAAGGGTAGTGCACTAATTGACAGTTACAATTATTCTGTGGAGAAGGCAGTCGGAGGTAATAGATACACTGAAATAGCCATTTTTTCAGGTGCATGAAACGATCTACCAACATGAATGTTAGTGTATCGGTAAAATGAGCGACTATCTAAGACGAATGTTCGGCAAAGCTTTAATCTAGAGAGGTTCCTTCAATATAAGGGGGTTATGTGAAGGGCCTCTCTCCGTCACAGCCTCCAAAGCCAATCCTTTCCACCTTTTATCTTCGGCATTCCTTATTTCCACTCCTCTTTGACCTCCGTCCATCACCTCCCAGTCTCTTCTACTTTTGAAGTACCAACTACAGGAACGCATGCCGCTATACTCCCCACTGTCGGGTTCCATCCACAAGGCGTCATAAAACATTCTATTGACTCGTAAGCAAGCACCTTGTCACTGTTTACCGATAAAAATTATGATGGAAAAACTCCGTAGATATTTTCTAATAAAAATAGCAATGGAATTAAAAAAATCTCATCAACAATTCTGTTGGCATTTATAATGTGTCAAAATTATTGATGAATATTCCATTGGTTATTTTAAAATCAATTAAAACCCGATAGCCCCCTCTTCCTATTTAAACTTCTTCATGGAACCCTAAAAAAAATATTCCCTCAATTTTCTCCCTATTTCATCTTTTTCATAGCTTTACCTCTCTCCTTACACTTCTGTCGCCATAGTCATTAATGTCTCTATTCTTGGCGCCGATTGGTATCACTGTGAATTGCTAATTTTAGTGTGTTGAAGCTGGTATCCTAATCTTATAAGGTGATTTAAATTACTATAAACCCTAATTTTATTATTTTTTTTAAGTTTATTTTTTGTAATCTCAACTTGACCCGTGTTAATGGAACTTGATTGTGGTGCTTTATGTTTGTATGAAAATAATGGTTCATGCCTTGTTATATGTTGCTTTGACAAAAAATGAAATATGGTCACAAATTTAGCATGAGGAAAAGAGTAAATTTGAGTTCCATGGTTTTGATTTCTCACGGTTGTGCTAGGATAGTGTTAAGTTTTTTTTGTAAAAGATTGTGGCCATTTGATCATGCTATTTCAACAAACACATGGCCATTCTAGCCTCTGTTACATCTTAATAAGAAGAAGGAAAGAAAGAAAACAAAGAAAAAACCCTTTATAAACCGGTCATCAGTCAATAGAAGTTTTAGGTTTCATTTGTTTACGTGGTTGAGCTATATTTATAAAAAAAATTAAAAAGTTTTTTTTTATATTTTTGGATCCTTTTAATATACTAATATAAAAAAATATTTTTTTTATATATTTCTAAATAAAAAATATTTGAAAAAATAATCACTATTATAATATCAAACACCTTAAAAAAAAATACATTATTACATTTTTGCAAATCAATGAAACCAGCGGTACTAGTTGTAGCCCTTTTGTTTGAGAGGATATGGAGGGTAGTTTGGACTCAAAAGAACGTCTAGGAAAAGCTTAAACAATAGGTTTTATTGGGAAGCTCTTTTTAGGGATGCTTATCACTTTTGCAAGAGTTATGAAAAATATCAAAAAAATAGGTGGTTTATCATGTAGGAATGAAATGTCACAAACTCCTATTTTATATTGTGAGATTTTTTTATGCATGGGGCATGGATTTTATAGGACCCTTTCCTAGTTCTTTTAGTTTTCTTTACTTTTTGGTTATTGTGGATTATGTTTTGAAATGATTAGAAGGAAAGGCTACCGGTACTAATGATTCTAAGATTGCTATGGGGTTTCTCAAATCTAACATTTTCAGTAGGTTTGGAATTTCAAAAGCAATGATAAGTGATCAAGGCACCTATTTTTGCAACTGAATTATTGAAACATTGATGCGAAAATATGGAGTACATCATCAAGTAGCTATAACTTACCACTCACAAACCAATGGATAGGCTAAGGTTTCAAATTGAGAAATAAAACATATTTTAGAAAAAATAGTGAACCCCAAGTGAAAGGATTGAAGCTTGCATTTAGAGGATCCACTTTGGGCATATCGTATAGCATACAAAACTCCAATTAGAATGTCATCATATAGGTTGATTTTTAGTAAGTTATGTTATTTACCAATAAAAATTAAACACCATGCCTTTTAGGCAGTGAAACAATGCAATCTTAATGCTAAAAAGGCAGGAGAAGAATGAAAATTATAGTTGCAAGAACTTAAAGTAATTTGATTAGAAGCATATGATAATGGAAGGTTATATAATGAGTGAACCAAATATCTTCATGATAAGTTTTTACAGCACAAACAATTTTTTGTTAGGCAGAAAGTATTACTTTTCAACTCTAGATTGAAATTCATGTCTGAAAAATTATGATCTAGATGGATTGAATCATTTATTGTTTTAATTTTTTTTTCTCATAATGTTAATGAAATCCAAACAGTGAAACTAACAAAGTTTTCAAGGTGAATGGCCGCATATATAAGCCTTTCGTTGAGAATTTTGGAGACACCATTAAGAAGAAATTTAAACTGGCTGATCCAATCTACATAGATGCATTACAAAATGAAAACAATGTCTAGCCAAATACAATAAAGAAAGAAATTTTAGGGAGGCAACCCAATGTGGAAACAATTTAAAAAAAAACTAAAAAAAAAAACAAAAAGCTTTTCTGTTTTATTTTCTCCTCACATCTAATATGACCTGCTTCTTTTACAATTCTCGATACTCTTGTTTAGTAATGTCCTCACTTTGGCAACCACCTAAATACCAACTCAAGCAAAGGCCTCAAGGTTCTCGATGGTGTTAACTAAACGATTTATGTAGCTTTTAGTAGCATTTATATCGGTACCATTTTGCCACTTTGCATCACTCTTCAACAAGACATTGTAAAAAAAGAATGAAAAAAGAAGAATCTAACAAGTAATGATAAACAAGGCAAACATTACTACCATGGATGCAAAATAAAGCAAACTGATTAGTATTTAAAAGTGCATTTTTATCAAGGTTTTATATTATCATTTTGCACTTTAAATATTAATAACTCCTTAACTAAAACATATTTTATAATAACATATCGAATAATATAAGATATCTTTAATTTATGTTAAATATCCATTTTAAATATAGGCATGTCACATAAATGAAAGGATTGATTGATGAATTTAAAAACTGAAATTGAAAGGACAAAGAGATGGCCAAACTTAGAAAAGAGATGTTGGTACAGTCCAAACCGGAACACTATTCAGTAATTGGATCATATCTAGAGCTGTAGATCTTGAATTTAGGTCTACTTTACATGGATGGAAAGGTAAGACATAAGCCTACAACTCTTATATGGAGCCAAGATTTAAAAAGGTCATTTTCAAGTCCAAATTATAGCAACAAAAAAAAAGTCTGAATATGTCCTCCAACCCGAGCACTGTTCAATGTTTGGCTCATATTTGGAGTTTTAGAAGTCCAAATAACCTCAATTGTTTACACAAGAAAGCTAAGATAATTTTCTACAACTTTCATGTTTTCAAGTGGTTCTAATTCTGACGTTATCAATGATGTTTTGGGCAGACAAGAAAAGATAAGGATTGTCACCAAGTCAAGAGTTAGTCACCCACTCGTCAATTAATCATCAAATCAATATATCCCAATTTTGGCTTATAAAATGAGGCATTTTTCAAGCATTTAGGCATCTTGGTCTCCAGATCAAGATCATGCTCTTACTTTCTCTCTATGTATTCTTTGTAATGTTTATGTTTTGTTTTCATTAATATCTTGTTTATGCTTTTCATTTCCTTTCCTTTACTTAATTAACTTTTATCTTATTTATGTTCTTATTTTATTTATTTATTTATTTTCTTTTATTATGTTTAGTTAAATTTATTATGTCAAGGTGAAAAGGTTATACTAATGGTGTAATGATTAGTACTTAAAAGTACATTTTTTATCAAGGTTTTATGTCATCATTTGCACTTGAAGTATCAATAACTCCTTAACTAAAATATATTTTATAATAATATAACTAATAATATAAGATACCTTTAATTTGTGGTAAATGTTCATTTTAAATGCAGGCCTATTACATAAATGAAAGGATTGATTGATGAATTTAAGAACTGAAATTGAAAGGACAAAGAGATGGCCAAACTTAGAAAAGGGATGCCGGTGCAGTTCATACCGGAACACTTTTCGGTAATTGGGTCATATCTGGAGCTGTAGATCTCAAATTTAGGTCTAATTTATATGGATGGAAAGGTAAGACATAGGCCTACAACTTT